TCCGTACTTTCAAACATTTTCATTTTAAGGCTACTGAAATCACTGTCCCGCTTAGAGAGAAATCAGTCTAGTCGGTTTACGGAAATGATAATTGCCATGGCCGTAGACTCTATCGTTGTGGCTTAAATCACAACTATATTCGTTCCCAGCCGCCCTCGTCTTCTATGATAAACCTCGTTATTATTAATTGTTTTGATCGCTAAGCAAGGACTCTATACTTCAGCGTCAAGACGATACTTATCATGAAGTTCAGGATATTGATTCAACTCCCTTTTATGCATTTTGCGCAATCTATCTGAAAACCTTCTTTATTTGTTTCCTCCTTATACCTTTCCATCAGTAGCGCGTTACTGCTTGCTTTTGAGTATTCCATTGTATTCATGTTTGCTTTGCTTTTCTTTCAGACACTGGAAATGACCTTCACTATTACTTTGGTTCAAGAACGTAAGTAATTTATGCATGAAGTTCCGATAACTCCAGTACGCTTGGTTATACGAAGGGTTTATGATTAAAAGTAAAGTTGAAGAAGGATCGAAATCACCTTACCACGAAACGGATAGGGGAGTGTTGGTCAGGCAGTTAGCGATATTAAAATTCTGTCTTTTCGGTCCTTTTCATAGAGACATCTAGTTGCTTCAAGGTGTTGTGATTAAATTAATGGAAAGTCTGGAGTCAAATAAATATTCGCAAGCGTGTAATAGTAAAATATAATTCCAATTTTCCGCTTCCGATTGGTGTGAACACCACGAAAAATGATTTCATGTCCGAAGGTCACAACTCTGTCCCATGCAGAAACCTGATTGGTGGGCTGCTGATCCAACGGAAATCGAATGGTGATATAGATTGAAAGTGTGGCATCTTAAAATGGACGTCTAAAAACTAAGGAGCCAAAGCCTAATGAGAAACACAGGGATTTTCTACAAGCCTAGAACGCTGAAGGAACCTTAAAAAATATCATGAAAGTCCTACTGAAATTTAGATATTACTGACAAACATGGACTTAAGGTCCCAAACAAAATGGAAACCTCAAGGGCTTGTATGCTCCTGACGACTGAGTGCACGCACGCACGCACTCCCTTCCTAGTTTTAGATTATGTTTCTGGATTATTGGATCATCTTTCTGATCAGGATTTACTGAGATGAGTACTGGGGTAAAAGCTGAGTTGGTTTCCTATCAATGGGTGTTCAACGCGACGCATTATCGCCAATGACTATGTGCACGTAATACAATGACATACCTAGATCGCCCGATTTGAATGACGTAATTGGTAGAAGGTATGACTTTATGAAATCACATGAATACTCGTTGTACACATAACTTAATAATCTTACACAGATCCGTGTAGGTATAGGGGTCTATGGTTAGGATTCCTTGCACAGACTCCCGTCAAATGAAAGACTTCGAAGGTGACCTTTAAGTGTACACATATTTTTTTTTAACAAAAACGTGACCCAAGAGTAGACCGAAAGTCTAGAGAGTGGTGTGCTTTAACACGCCTTTCTCCAAATCAGTATGCTTCAAGATTTGCTAGATAAAGCTCCAGCAGATAAATTAACCCAGCTACACACATTGATTGGCATTAATCGATCGCTCCCGGAACATATTCGTCCCGCTATGCTTTGGGGCTCATTCTCGATTGCCGCCAGCAGCTACACATCGGCTAATAGTCTAGGAAGATAGCATTGCCTGCAAAGACGACAATTGCCATTTCTGGCTTATAAGCCGTCTTGAGGCAGTTAAACGCAAATCCAAGTGGGGCTCCACCCCAATGATTAGAGCTTTGGAGTTCTAACTGACATGTCGCGGGTTCGAACCTCGAGCCCTTGTCTTTGTCGGCAATGTTATTTAAATCCCTTGTTAATATGCAGTTTTTTTAATGTATTGATGCGAATTTAGTATAGTCTGTCTATTTTCGGGTTCATTTTGAAAACTAGGTCGGTCACAAAATCTGCAGTGACGCGTGTTCTATATTTGCACAAGTTTGGGCTCGAATAAGAAATTCTAAATGCGTAACCTTGCTTGTTAATCAGAAATTTCAGTGGACAGTTACTGGGTTGCCAAATAACAGGCCGACATTTGACCCGCTCACGATGCGGAATGCTTTTTCTATACTTCTAAATGGAAGGGTCTATGTTTGGCCAGGAAAAAAGCCTCACATTAACTTTTTATGAATATCGCCGAGTCGCCCACGATTTTGGAGGGTACAAGACCTCTGTGTTATCGCCCAAACACGTCATCAAGCTTTGTAAAGACCTTTGGGGAGTCTTTCTAAAATACCCCAGGGATCCTCGTTGAGGCTTGCAGCGTGCGCATAGAGAGCATAAAACAAGAGACCTATCGATTTTACAAATAATTCGGTTCCCCGTTTCGATATTTGAGGAAAATATGAGACCACGGTACCACCTTTTCACATACCGACAGTGCTCACCCAGTAACGATTTATGAAGCTCCCATATCAGTTCCATTCGTTTGGCAACACCTTTTCCTGCTATTTCAGCCTCATTATCCAAGGGTAGAACTTTGGCTGCGCAGAAGTCTGCTCTGCCGCAAATCTTTCACAATTGGGTCAACTTTATTATTAAAATCTGCCAAACCTGCCTAATGTTTATAAATAGTTTTCATTTGTTCACTACAAAATGCAAAAATTGATTACATCCGAAGTTCACGCTTATCACGTCAGGCCCTTTTCATTTGTTTACACACATTTAGGGCTGTCAGTGGTTGTCCCAACGGCATATCCACCATTGTCACTCTGCGCTGTCCCCCAGCGGACCATGTTCGGTTGTCCACCACCGAGAAGAAAGACATCTTGTCCGTTGAAGTACCTCCGCTGTGTGTAGATGGTACCTGTGACGGCTGCAATTACCACTTTCTGGTCTTCTCACCCTACGCTTGCCCCATCTGCCGACCACAGGACGTCGCGCGACTGGAAGGCAGTTGCAACGGGGGCGAAAGGGAGGTCAACGTCTTTGCCGCCAAGTAAGTTCTCCTGCCCCCCCCC